TACTAGATTGAATAAATAACTTTAACATGTCATCTTCGATCTTAACATTGGATTGAACAAGCTTAGCAAGCTAGCTCATCAAATCTGAGAAAGGCAGCAAAAGCTAGTAAGCAAATAACAACTGAACGAATACTATACAAAGAGGCCATTGAGTCCGCCTTGGAGGCAACTAACTGCTCCAACTGAGAGACTGTGATAGGCTCCTTCTTGGTCGTTTGATGGGCCAGCAAACGCTGCGCACCGGCAAGAGTACTTCTCTTCACCAACGGATGATCAGAAGGAGACGGCTCGCCACCCAGCTGGTGAAACCAGGCAATGCTGTGAACTGCAGACTCCAGGGGAGATGCTGTCTTCGCCTCAGTCATCAAATGACGCAAATAAATAGCAAAGTGAAACGGAGAAGCAGGGAAAACTGTCAAGCCATGTTCTCGTGCCCAAGACTTCCATCTGTTGTAAGAAGAAAAATATTTGGAGGAAGTAGTGGGTGCTCTGCTAGCCAACGCAACATCCGGAAGAGAACTTGCAAGGGATTGTAAAGCACTGGATCCCTGGGGAACCGCAGCCCGAAGATCCGACCACATAGTAGAGCTGAAAACATCTGCAAAATAAAAGCAAAAAGAACACACACACACCCTAAAAAGTCAAAAACAAATAAAAATGACCCGAATGCTGGAACAGCAAGACCGAGATGCAAGATAAAACCAGCACGCCCAAATATATACCCCTACTAATTACCCACATACCAGCGCACACGCCTAAACAAACATAAGATACCGATGAGAGCAGGGGCCCATAACCCTGATGAGAGCATATTTTCCTGCAAATAACCACGTCAAACGCAGGAAAATACTGGTCCCGCTAGACTCTCGCTGCCTTCAGGGTATACCGCTATTATAATTACGGCTATTGTAATTACCTATAACCAGAAGGAGGTACCAGTTGCAATAATGCATTTGAAAGCCAGAAGATGTTGGACAAATTTTAACGGTTATTTTTGAAACTTTTAGTTTCCAGTTTGAAAAAATATAATTTTCAGTAAGGGAAAAAAGGAAGGGGGTGGGAGGGATCTCACTGCCATCTGCTTTACCTTGAAATAAGTGTCTTGCAAAGCCAGGTGAATCTCGTAAGTTTGAGGGGTAAAACTACCAAGGTTCCCTTGGGCGTGGGTAGGGATCGACAGTCGGTGAATACGCTGTCTTGTAGAACCCCTTGGTCCACACATATATACGGGTGACTGACTATTTTAGTGGCCTGTGTGGAGTTTCTGGTCGTCTGGATTAGGAAATGGTTTTTGTTGTCAATTCTAGAAGAGGGCCTCAAATTTAGACAATTCATTCATTCAGTCATGTTTTTTTCACCATATCACACATCATTACAATAAAGAACGTTAAAGGAAGCAGATGGCGAGGAAACCTGAAAGAAACTACGGGGCTTATAAGGAATCAGCTTTCCTCAAAACTAGAAGTTAGCTAGTCTTATATGACAATATGGACCAGCAGAAGTAGTACAAGCTCTTACAAAAATAAAAGTAACAAAAGATGAAGGAAATATTAAGTTACTATTGAGAAGAAATTCTTTAAGCTTTTTTTGAAAAGATGCGTAGCTGTATTTATGGAATTTCCCATCACACGCACAGGCACAATGTACTTTACTTGAATCAAGCGTGGAATGCCACCCGCGGTATGTTAATAATTTATGGACAGGTGTAAATTTGCAAAGTCATGAAACAGAAACAAGTAAACAAGAAAATATCACGCAAAACAAAATAAACTTTATAGAATCGACTCTTTTGGGAGATTTTTAAATCTTAATCTTTGTTAACTTTGTTAACTTAAAAGTTAACAAAAAAGAAAAAAATATATAAGTAAATGATATTTACTATATGGCTAAGTCTGCTGCCCCCCTGTGGTTAATTTGCGGTCCATCCATAACTCGCTATGCGGACCAACATTTCAAAAGAAAATGCGCTGCTCAATTTACAGCTCTAGATGTTTTTATTTCTAAAAAAAGAGATTTAAAGAAAGTCATCATATGTTTGTAAATCCTGGGGACTTGAATGTTGACTTTTTCCTTCCGATTTTTTACCAGTGTTTATTGGAGAACGAAGCTGATGAAGAAACTGAATCGTAATCTTACTAAAACAATCGACGGAAGAGAATTTTTCGCACGCGAGCCATAAATCGATAAAACAAAGAAAAAGAAAGAAAAGAAGAAAAAGACTGTGGTTCCATAGTTTTCAGACTATGGACCTAATAAGAGGTAATATCAGTAACTTATTAGAAATATGATAATTACATTAAGTAATATTGATTTAGATGATTGTTAGACTAGACTGCGAGTAGTCTCTTACTTTTCTTTGCAAAGTCGAGAAACCCAAGCACGCGAGCTGCGAAGTCGCGAGGCGCGAATCCGCGATAAACGAGGGCATAAGCCCAAGCAGAAAAAATAAGAGTGCTGACTCTTTTATTTTGCCTGGGGACAGCGAAGCTGTCAAGGTAAC